CTTCACCCTCCTTGCCCATTAAGGGGTGATGAGTTAAGACTCATCCTGGCTTGTTATCATACTACCTTTTCAAAGGATATCGGGCTTTCATGACGTTTCGGCTTTCGACCCATGGTTTTACAAATGCAAGGATCACTCATATGTTTACTTTGACGAACAGACATCCTTTATTCAACCTCTCCTTGCGCTGATCGTCCTTTGTGATTAAACGATACAACGCTAGGCAAATCCCCGATTTCTGCGATTGATCATTGCGTATAAAAAGCGCTACCTGTAGATCTGGAAATGAAGGAGATTCCCCGCAGTAGTGCACTCCCGAACGATACTCTTCACTGCAGTGTAAGTTGTACTAGACTCTCTGCGCCGTTTGACCATCGAATGAAGAATGAAAGGCTGATTCTTCCAATCTTCACCTTCAGATCGTCAATCATCTTCATATTGTGACAAATTGACTACTTTCCAGTCAGCCTGACGAAGCCGGACTTTGTCGTACACGCACACGCTCATTTTCTACACTTTGACACTTTCAGCAAGCCGATCACTGGAATCTGTTCTCACATCTCACGAACTTTTGGGTGAAGCCAAATAGAACCAATCATAACAAAGGGAACACTCGCATTACCGACATCTGCCAAATAAGATGATGGTCTTCTCCCCAGCTCTGTTTGGACTCTTAGGGGCATTAGCTGTCAACGCTCTGCCACGTCCTGCCGCGGCACCGCAAGGAAGCCAGTCTGTCGATCCCACTACACCCTGGAGCTACACTTGCAAATCAGACGGCTCAGGCTACACCGATCAGCTCGGCAACGACTTCCCCTGTTCTGACGGCACCGTCTGCAAGGACGGTGCAGATGGTAGCCCCTGCGCCTGGCCTGACGAGTGAGCGAGAAACAGTAGTCATACTTCACATGCGCCCTAAACGGTCGTATACCCTGACAACTCGATCTACGAGACAGACGCTGATGGAGTGGCTGACTGTGATGTACGAGTCTATAGCGCGACCGCCGTCATAGGCGCTGTAGCCGATGGTGCCCCTACATCAGCTGTAGCGCCACCTGTGTCAGCTCCTTCTTTGTCCGGCTCTGCGACTGCACCCGCCGGCGCCACAACTACCGGTGGTCAAGTCAGCAGCGCAAACTCAGTTATGGCCGGCTCGGCATCACCCGCGTTGGCAGCTGTTGGGGCGACGAGCGCGTCCGCTTCGGCTGCTGTCGGCAATGCCTCGTCAACCGGCGTTTTGGCTGGGCAGTCCACCGCTGCTTCGGTCCCATCCGGCTCGGCCGCATCATCAGGCTCTAGCGCTATCTCCAATCCCTCTGGCAGCAGCTCTTCTGTGTCTGCGGGAGCAGCAAACCCGACCGCACCTCCTGCTGCCGCGAGCGCTGCATCTGGCGCGATTAGCGGCTCAGGGGAAATGGCGACCAAGACCGCAGGCATAGGGCAAGTCGTGTACGAGAAACCTGATACCAGCACTGTCGACTCTGACGAAGCACCCGAAGGTGGTACAAGACTTGTGGCTTACTATGATAAGTGAGTGACACTGACTACATCGTCTGCCTATTCCTGCCGCCTTTGTTGTTGCCCGCGAAACTCGATGCTCACCCCACTCTCGGCTCCCATGGTAGCTATGTGAACTTCGATGGTGTATCGACCTCACAGCTCAAGGGCGTCACTCACTTGATCATGTGTAAGTGGAGCTCTCGTCTCTGGTACGTTCGCGTTGGGCAATACTGACATGATCATCTTTTGCCGACGGGTCGGGTTCATAGCATTCATCGATGCCAAAGCCATGCTTGCCGGTCAGAATATGTGGTTGGAGTCCGCCCTTGGTAGCTTCGGCACGGAAATGACTGCAACCCTCAGGCAACAGAAGCCATCCATGAAGATCCTGGCAGCGCTCGGTGGTTGGAATAACGACAAGGAGATCGCAGCTGCGGCAGACGGTGGAACAATCGACACTTTTGCCGCTGCTGCTGCTGGCTTTGTTCAGGAGCAGAAGCTCGATGGTCTCGATCTGGACTGGGGTGAGTTACAACGAATTTTCGCGTGCAAATATCAGAAGTTTGGAAAATTGACAACCTGGGCGCGTGACCACATTTCAGAATTTCCCAAGGAAAACCAGACCCAGGGCTTCGTCGACCTTTGTAAAGCTCTCAAAGAGAAGATGGGCAGCGACAAGCTGCTGACTGTCGCTCTGGGTTCCAAGGAGGAAGACGGCAAGGCTTTCACTTCTGAGGTCTTCTCTGCCCTCGATGGTGTTGTCGACATGTGGAATCTCATGACCTGCAAGTCTGCGTCAATCCCGACTTTCGTATAAACAGACGACTGACCATGTAATTGCGTTTCAAACCACAGATGACTACGTCAACCGATACGACACCAAGACCGGCCATCAGTCCGGCGACGGAGTCGTCAAGAACACCGTGAACTTCTACAAGAAACAGGGCCTCACCGATCTCAAGAAGATGAACATTGGGTATGTGACTCTCTGCATATTACTACTATGACTGGTGCTGAGCTAACGGAGTTGGACATCGATCAGATTCTTGATGGACGCGAAGTACTTCCAGCTTACAGAGCCTTGCTCTGCGTCTGATCCGATTGGCTGTCCCATGGGAGGCAAAGAATACTTCGAGACCATCTCAACCGAGCCCGAGACCGCCGGACAGTCAATCGACAACGGCCTCTCCGGTTGGCTACGATACAACCCTGCTGTCGACCCTTCTATCGGCGGTAAGGGATCCGAGATGGCAGGCAAGATGAGGGCCAGCTTCGGGACAGCTCCACAGGACGACTCGACCGCTTTCCCCGAGGACAGGACCCACGCGTGGGTCGATGAGACCAACAACGTATTCTGGACTTGGACTTCGCCCGAGGACAACTCGGCGATCTGCGAGGAGTGGAAGAGCCAAGTGGGTGGCATGATGATCTGGAGCTTGAACCAAGACGCAGAGGGCGTCAATGGTGGTCCTCACCTCGATGCGGTAGTCAACTGTGTCACAGGCGGGTAAGGACGGAGGGATGATAGTATGCATACGATGATCGCTATCAATCCTGGATTACAACAGATCTTGTGGGAAGCTTGTAGTCTGCTTGTGATTGCAAACCGTCGACTGTACGTAACCTGTATGACGACCAGATATGAATCCATCACATCTGTGTACAGTAGTTATGTGACATACCGATATTGTGACAGCACTTTTCAACCTGTACATGAACATATCTGCTTTGTCGTCTCCTTGAAACGATCGAATAACAACGGTGGTCAGCACAAAATGGCGGGCTGAATCAGCAACTCTTTGGACGATACGGCGCCGCCGTGTGGTACACTACCCGAGTACTGCGGCGTCCTGAATGAACCTTGCTGAGTAGAGAAATGAACTGAAATCACTTTCGACTCAGCCCAAGGGCGCGGCTCATGGATGAGAGGGGTGACGCAAGCAACCTCCTTTCACGTCACTCCTTTCCGCTCCTTCGGCAGCTCCCCAATCCTTGTGGATATCAACCGTAACATTCATGATGCTGACGACGCTCCGGCTTGCCCCTCCCTCTGAGACTTGCTGTGCAGACTTTTTGCGGCAGTTCCGGCAGCTGAAAGGATGGTCAATCCCCAAGGGGACAATCGTTGAGGCGGGACCGATACGATACGGTATATCGAGGACGACAGAATGAGTGGCGATCCCGTTTGAATATCTGTTTCGTTGTCCTCATGTTCATTCTCCACGTTTCTCAACACGATTTCATCTTTCACAGCCAAGCTGATAATCTGTCTCAGGACCGCATATCACCATCATCATCAGCAGCAGCATCGAATAAGTCAGCTTGCTATCTCGCAAATTGTTCTCAATTCGACCTAACTCGACGAATCGCTGTCCATACTCTATTCAATCGTACTCTTTACAGACCTCGCTCCTTGTTCCCTCGCCTCTCCCATTGCCCGTCCCGGCATCCTGCGTCCGTTGAGAGCCTGAGGCATTCCGAATCTGGATTCGGAGATCTCAAGCCGAAGAAGAGCCACCTAGACTCGGCAAGTGGTCATTCGCAATGGCAGACGACGAAGAGGACGAAACTTCCTCGGCCGGTGGGTCTGGAGACGAATCCGGATCGGAAGAGAAACCCTCTCGTTCTTCTCGATCGAGATCACGCTCACGTTCGTCGTCTAAAAGCGTGGGATCCAGGTCCAAATCCAAATCGGGGCGTTCGGGCTCTTCCAAGGGAGATGGGCGTAGTAGCAGTGGTAGTCGAAGGAGTTCAAGCAAAAGCAAAAGCACTTCGGCGACCGAAGCTGACAATGTGACTGTAGCTACCGCGGACGTCAAGACTGATATCGGTACCGTGCTTTCTACACTTGGCACCTCATTCGAAGCATTGTCCAAAGTGCCAGCCGAAGACTGGGAAGGGTTCTATTCAGACTTGTCAACAGGAAAGACAACTGTCGACACCCTTTCTGGATTCAGTACCCAACTTGGGACGATTCAGACGACAGCGAAGACGGCATGGACCTCAAGGGCTACTAAACAAAAGGAAGCATCTGAGAAATCCACTAAAGAAGCCGAGGAAGTCTTATCAGGAGGATCGAATGCACCTGCTTCGCCTACCACAGAGACAGCGTCGAGTGCACCACCGCCTAGTACGGACCCACCCAAGACCGAAGAAGCCAAACCCCCCGAGCCTCCGCCTGCAGAAGCCGCCACTACAGAAGCGCCCAGCGAGCCGCCAAAGGTGGAAGAGAAACCGCCAGAGAAGCCGACTGAAGGTGAGAAGAAAGAGGAGGGGGAGGCGGCGAAACCTGCCGGAGAGGAGAAAAAAGAAGAAAAGCCGGCAGAAAAAAAGGAGGAAGCGACTAAACCAGCTGAGGGAGATAAACCGAAGGAGGAGGACAAGAAATAGCGTTCTTTCCAAAGGCCATCGAGGAGAACAACCCAGAAGAGACGATAGATCACATAGATCATCGCCTCGAGATGGTACCCCGCCATTCCCATGCATCGAATGCCCACCATCTGTCCCAGTGAGACTCGAACTCACGACCGTCCGATCTGCTAGAAACTAACAGTCGACCGCCTTAACCAACTTAGCCATGGGACATTTTCGCTGATTTGTGGCTTGCTAGGCTCCATACCTATCCTTTGACATAACAGGAGGGAGAGGGTATAGTATCCTCGAGTCTTCATGTCCATGACTGCCTGCTTCAGAAACGTGCAATCTCTTGTTTCTCGCTGCGATCAAACTCTGGTTTTCCAAACATCGTCATCTCGGGGATCTCCTGACACTTTCAGGGTATCTCGGGGTTTACCAGGTTCTACTGGCTGCATAGTGAAACGATAAGTGGCGAGGGCGGTTTATGGGTCTCATGTTGGGGCATAGCATATATCTCATCAACAACACGGGTGTATATCATACGTACGCAGACTGACTATAGGCGGCATAAACTGTTACTGTACGAGCAGGAACGAGAGATTCGATGACAGCAGACAAACGGGAAAAGTAGCTACACTACAGGTGGTATGCAGAACTGAAACAAAAGACAGATGGGTATTCAAGTCTTGAATGGCTTGTCACACGGACCAAGAATATAGATACTCAAGCTCAGTCTGAGAAGGAAATCAAAGCAGTCTTACAGCGTTACATCGTCCACGAATCCTATTATCCCATTATCATAAGCTCACGTCCCGTCTCTTTCTCGGTGATCCGCCACTGTCTAGTAACATGGCATATCTTGTCGGACTTGTTGGCGGCATAGGTGATCTGATGGAAGAATGCGTCGGTGACCCAGTCAAGTGGTCTTTCAGTCGATCTAATACACCTCCTACCTCCCACATTGGTGTCGACAGCAGTGCACTGGCAGACGGTGGTGGCAGCGCCGGGGATCCACCGAAGAACATCGGCGTCTTGGCTAGACTGGGCGTTCGAAGGTGCTGCAACCGAGGCGTCTTGTTCTTGTCGGTCGCGGCAGATGATCGGGTCACGGGTGTCTTTGGCGGCGCACGAGGTGAATGAGATATGTTGTTGCTGGGAACAACGAAATCATCGTCGTGGTGGGCTAGTGTTCGCGTTCTTGGGGGTGGAGCCTTGGGCTTGAAGTCGAAGGCGGCATCAAGCATAGGCCGGGCTGGTGATGAGTCACGGGCAGGCGATTTGGTCATGTCGTCATGCGTCCAAGCTTGTTGCAATGCGCTCGGGTGATGAGTCGATCGAGTAATGGTTTGAGGCATAGGTGAGGAACCAGGAGAAGATGAGGTTTGTATCAGAGCAGGAGTTTTGAATGCACTAGACATAAGCTTGCTATTATTCGAAGAAGAGGGTCGTTCTCTTTCGGGCGTGATGAATGAGTCGTCCAGCTCTTGTATGGTGGCAGTCTCTTGCGGGATCGGATGTATAGGCGCGAGAGGCTCTGCCACTCTGACCCGTTTTGTAGCTGAGGTGAAAACGTTGTCGTCGTCGACTATAAGTGGTCGTCGTTTTTCTTTGCGCTCGAATCGAGGCGGTATCATGACACCGTTGCCAGCCAACTGCTCTTCGCGTTTCTTCGCTGGATCGATGGGCGTTACATCGACAGGAGGAGGCATCATCTCAGCGTCTTCTGCCAGGTCGATTGGGAGGAACTCTCCCTCGTCTTCTTCGAACTCAAATCCATCGGTCATGTCCAAAGCTTTGATAGGTGGCGGCTCCATGAGGGTAGTTTTCATCTTGGGCGTCGTAGAGTTGTCTTCAGCGGCTGGGGTAGATGAGCCGGCTTGCTGCTGTTGTTGAGACAGTGACCTCTCCAGAGGTAGCGGGACCTCAGTCAACATGGATGATGTTCGAATCATATCGATGGCATCGTCGTCATCGTCGTCTTTGTTGGCGAGTTTTCTGCCCTTTTTACCCTTCTTCGGAACATAAACCCTGCCTTCCCTGGCGGCCTTCTCCATGGCTTCCTTCTCCTTGGCCTTCTCATGCATTGTTTGTCGACACACAGCATGATGAGGGTGCGAAGGAGGGAAATTCTTTATGAACTTGTCTTCAGCAGGCCAATGGCATTTCTCCTCTTCGTGAATGATCCAGATACCACCTTTACCTGGAGGGAATGCCTCGGTTCGTGGGATGGTCTCAAACATCTTGTGTATAGATAAGTTGTGTCGCACGGAGTTCCTCCAAGCACCATCACCAGTCTTGAAGAAAGGGTAGGCGGTCTCGACATATCGGTAGATGTGTTCTAGGGAGAGGCCCCCAGCTTTGCATCTCAAGATGGCCTGCCCAATGATACAGGCGAAGGAAGGGTTCGGACGTTCCATAGGCCGAGGTCCAGGGGGGATACCTTCTACACCAGGATCTTCTGCCACTTTGGCGAATTTGGCGGAAGTTCGTCCACCTTGGCCAACCTTGGAGGGTGGTCGCGGTGGCTTAGCGATAGCAGGTACTGGCTTCTTCTCCTCGAGATGCATTTTCAACATTGCACGTGAAGTGGAAGGGCCTCGCGTAGGCGAATCGTTCTCATCGTCACTGCTCTCGACCTCTTCGGGTCGCTTGACATGTTGACGGGTGGATCGTACACAGATGTCACTCAGACTGGATATACTTGAAGACGCAGTAGCGGTCGTGGCGACGGATGTGGCTGAAGAGTGGATGTTCTCGGGATAATTGGATTTGTTTCCCTGAGGCGTGATCACATGTATCTCACGATGAGGAGAAAAGCGTTGGGGGAATTGAGGTGCTGGACCTAGCGCTCGAGCAGGCGAGATCCCTTGGACGTTGAGCCCGAACTAGATAGAATGTGAATCAGTTGATGCCCACAAACGGCATTCAAATCTGCACTCACAGAATGATCGAACGAGGACAAGTCCCATGACATATCGATAGCTTCAGGTGGAGGAGGTAGTTGTTGCATCTGCTGTCGCATCACAGGAGACCCGCTAGCGCCAGGTGGGACGGGATCGAACATGTCGCCTGCGATGTGCGGACTAGTCGAACGCATAGGCGCCTGCAATGACGCGTGTCGAGATAATGGGACTGGTCGCTGGATGGGACCGGTCATCGTTTGTCTATGGGTCATAGATGGCCGAGCTTGCTGAGCAGGCATTCTCTGTCGACCTGGTTGCAGCGGTTGATATTGCTGCTGATGGCTGATGAGCGGCATTGTATTGCTTCGATGCAGTTGCGGTCCCATCCTAGCCATATTCATGTGTTCAGTGGGCGAGACAAGCTGATTTGGTGGTAATTGCATTCCCATGCCTATACTCGGTGATTGAGACAGCTGGCCATAACTGTCAAAGTGTGCGGGCATGAACGGCGTGGAGTCTTCTTCGGGGAGGAAGGGAGAAGGGCCGAGATCTTCGAACCCATTGGGCGGTGGAGTCGCTCGTATCGGTGTCTTTCCGGCTCTGCCTGGGTTGATAGCGATGACGTTTCCGGGCTGACCCACCATTGGTATCGCCATCCTTCCTTGTGCTACCTGATGCCCAGCATAAGGAGCGATCATGTGTCCATGTATTTCCCCTCTATATGCCCCTCCAAATTGCTGCATGAACGAGTTTGTGACAATGTGATCTTGAGGGGTGTAGTATATCTGCTGCTGATGAGACGATGAGGCTGACGGAGTAGGTGAGAAGGTGTGCACGCGTCCCATACTGAACGAAAGAAGAGAGGGTTAGCTATCGATGAAGCCGAGAACATCGAGAGGCCGTTGTGTTCATGAGAGATCCAACTCACGCTTCACCGCCCATCATATTGGAAGATGGCCCGGACATTCGATTAGTTGAAGCCGAGGAAGTCGGGCGTGACATGTATGCTGAATGAATAAACGAGTACGACGATAGAGCGTGAAGAGGGATGTCTCAATGACACGGGTGAGACTTGCTCCCGGTCTCGCCGTCAAGGTTGAGAGTTGGGTGTCAGATTTCAGACTTGAGTTGAAGACACTGCTGATCGACCCGACCTGCGGGGGAGGCTTTCACGTTCTGTGAAGGTGCAGTGGAGTTTGAGCGATTTGGTTTTCATCGAAAAGGTGAGTGAGTGAGGGACCGAAGCTAGAAGGTGGCAATGAAGAAACGCGTTGAAAAGGGCGCGCTCACCGTACGGTACCTGCGCTTGCTCTGCGGTGTCCTCTTCCACTGACGATCCTCAAGTCTTCTGCAAGTCGTCCGTCGATGTGGTCGTAAGAGTCGACGATCAATTCAGCAACAATGATGTGGTAGCGAGACGATGCACACCGATACTAGATGTTGGAGACGAAGGATTGTAGAAAAGGATGAATGGATGGGAGAAGGAGGGATTTGAGCACTGTGTAGGGCAAAAGGTGGAAGAAAGTCACACCAAAGAGGGCAAAGTAAGGGAAACGCGTCCCGAGTTGGTACTGTCCGGTAGGTGGGTGTGTCGTATGGTGGTGGCACTGATTGCCGGCAGGATCCGAGGGTGCACTAGGTGTGGGTATCTCTTCTTCGTGTCTGTCGGATGGGTTACTCTGCTTTGTGATGTCACAGAGAGCGATTAATGTAATGTTCACGAGGAAGAGAGAGGAGCCCGTGCAGATGTCAAGTCGCTACGAGGTTGATAGCAAAGATGTCGCCAGCGATGGAGGAATGCATAGGATTGATCTATGCATTTGCATTATTCGCGACTGAATTGGTCTTGTCTCGCGCGTCTGTCCGCAGAGGACGCATGCATGCATACAACAGATACATGAGTGAATCTGTACAATCTGAATCTGTATGGTTGTGCTAGCGGGGACGCGACTGCTCTTATTTTCTTACTAAAGTCATTACAGGTGAGAAAAAAAAGATGAGAGGAAGAGAAAGTCAGCCTGGAACTTGCCTCAAGCGGCAATTCCACCGTTGACGTTCCGCGTCATAGGGGAATCAAGCACATTTGCGCACATTGCTCTCGGCGTTATGCCCCGTGTGGCAACAGTGTGGTACCCGTACAACGCGTCTTGGTACGCGCCTCGCCCACCCCCCCGTGTAGAAATTGAATTGAATTAGTTTTTCAGGTCAAAATGAAATTAGAGTTGTCCTTCGAGGTCAGGACGTGCGAGAACATGGAAAGATGCGATCGGATGGTGCGTGTGGCTTGGCCAATGTTGCCGTACCATTCTTAGACCTGCTCCACGT